GAATTGAAAGAGGCACTGTGGAGCTTCTGGATGTTGTGGTTAAAAGGCGTTGTCAGGTTTTGGTACAGAAAAATTAAAGCATTGCTGAACTGTTTCTATGGACAGTCTATGGAAATACCCGGCTACTCGATAAAGTAATTGAGATTACGATTGGCACCAGTCGAGGACTCAAATGACGCACTATCGGAGACAGTTTGGTTGAATGGACGAAATACATAAAGGTGTCATTCTGAGAGTGGCGGTTATGGATGAGAGTTTCACATGGGAATCGATGGGATATTTGCAAATGTATTGTGAAGTGTTCAGTTGTGTTTGGGTGAGCGCTGTTTGTTCGACATAAAGTGGATCGCTTCAATGATTCCCCAAATGTGTTCGGTGTTAACTTTTTTGGATAGGCCTCAGCCTGGGATATGGCAAAGGCAATTCATCCAGAAATGAATAGTGACAGGCGTATACCCACCAGTTTATAATGGAAATGCCAGTCATCAGTGTCCATTGCGCTGAATTATAATCAAAATCATTTTGTGACCCAGATGTGCACATTAGGTATTTCATGACGTCGCAGTAGTGAGACATTTCTGACTGCCATCTACTGCCAGTTGAAAATCCTGACTTTGATTTTACCAACGGGGATTTGCAAAGGGAAGTGTCATTTGCGAAGGGCTCTCCATTAACGCATACGGTAATCGCATACCACTTTCATAGCGGCCCGACAAGCCAAGCTTTTCCACGTCCTGAATAAGCTTGTAATTGTGATGTTAGAACTACTTCTTGTCGTTTGTGGAGAAAATCTGCCTGATAATCTAATCGATTTGAGCTTTGTAGATAAGGTGTATTTACCCAGCTCGACCCGTGTCATTGAAGATGGGCTTTTTTAAAGAAAATTATAGACAGGATCTAAAAATTCATGGCATGTAGCCTTTACAGTTAACTGGAGGTGACTGGGCTGCGTAGAAAAAGTATAAAAGAGGAACCTTGGTAGACTACAGCTCAGAATGACTTAACTTAGCAAATCGATCAGCCACATGTGTGGTCTCCGCAACCTGTTGTGCATTCTCAGGCAGATACTATGAGCTTTCCTGGTCAGAAGACTACGATTCGACCAGCATCCGCAAATTGGATCAATGTTCATTCAATCAGACCTGGTCAGTGAACGGTGCCCTGCAATGCATCTCTGGTTCTCAATTTCATTCGACAGCCGTTTACGTTTTAGAGGAAAGACATCAAGAAGACTAGGGGTTGCATTATGGTCATGATATATTCACAGCAACTGCCTCTGCTATTAATCTGTCAAATGTGAATCACCAGAAAAATTGCGTTACTTTTTAGTAGGAAGAAAAGGAACACCTCAAAGTATGAGACTGGAGGAAGAGCGTTCGAGGAGCACACGGAGTACCCAGCTTCGAGTATTTCGTATAGGCTCATTTTGCTAAATGTCGTATAAATTATAAATGCATTCAGGTGCGAGGGTTGATGCATCGTGTTGGCGCGTGCACGTTGACCTCGAGTGTGTCACACAGCGTGGTGGTGAAGGGAAGGCAATTGAAATATTTACACCAAGTGCAGTTAGTGAGTGGCCACTTGATAAAAACAGTGAGAAGAAGGAGGAAAAGCAGGAGCCACGAAAACAGACAGCCAACGATGACCGTGACCTTTCGCCGTTGCATGCGGCCGAAAAGCTCTTCGAGTTTCCACTGAAAGACCTCCTGGTCCGAGTCCCCGACTGTTGCCTGGTGGCTCAGGGTCGAGATGCGCATCATGGTGAGTCGGTTTTTGCTGCCGTAGCCAAGATAGGGGACAAACACGTAGGCAAGGAGAACGCCAGATATGAAACCAGAGATGTGTGCGTAGTTATCGAGCCAGGGTAGGAAGCCAATGAAAAAACCAAAGACTACGAGGACTGCCTGCTTCAAAATAACCGACCACGGCGAAACAAATACGTCGAGTGTTTGCAAGGAATCCATCAAACTGACACCAAACAAGGCGAAATGAGCTCCATTGGGTCCGGTGTGAACCTGCAAGAAAATAACAGGTAGATTGCTATTGCGGTCATCAAATGGCACGAGGTTACATGCGGTACTCAAGATCAAAAGGACACGTTTGTTTATTCAACTGATAGACTAATATGCCGCAATTTTTGTGTGATTAGGCAAAGTATAAGGGTAACTTGAGAAGGGAATCCAAGTAACAAAATTTCCGAGATGTTCATTTATAGAATTTTCACTGAATGATATTCGCGAGTAGCCTGAACACATCTCATGAGAGGATAGACGCTGTCAACACAGATGTTACATTTGCGCAAGTCGAGTTCTATCACAAATTTGTACTTGCTCTAGATTAATTCTTGAGTCTGTCCACTGCCCCGAATCAGAGTGCTTAGGCAACCCACTTGAAATACGGCGGCTGTGAAGGCTGTAGCAACGGCAACCTTTCGGGAGAACTTTCAACCTATACCTTACACCATATGCTAGGAAACCACTTGAAAATAAAAAAATCATAAGGAATAAATTTACATGGTACGGCAACATTATTCCAGAAACCAGGCCTGAGAGACACCCTGATAGTAGGAATATGACGGCGATCCGCACGCAACCAAGCAGCTTCTCCAAGTGACGCATTATGGTCATTTGAATAAGCAAGCTGAGCACCAAATGCAAAATCCTGGGCAGAAAAGATGGATTGCAACTTTAGAGTCAGAATACAATTATTTTGCTGTGCAGTAGGATGGGCGACATGACATGATGGATTTCTTCCCAACCACACACAAACTGACCACTCGAGTAACGAAATTTGAATTCAATTTCAGATAAAGCAACATCGCAAGTTAAAAAGCATACAAATCTCGCTAGATTAGTGAATGGCAGAAGTGTCCTTTCAAGATGTACAACTGAATGGAGAAGAAAGGCCGGAGAATATACAAAATTAGGCTAGCATCACTCTTGATGACTTTCAGTCACATTGTGGGCAGGAATCAACACCATCACGAGGGAACGATTTGGGCGAGGAAACACCACAGACACACCTAAAAACAGTTAGTCGTGAAGGGTAGAACTTGAAAACACGCAAACAGAAAACTCGTTGATTTAATGCAAACTTGAGGAACCATCGACAACCATCTCATTCATAAATTGGTGTTTTACGCGCTGAACTACCAGCACACTGCTATAGCATGTACGAATTCCTCTAATAAATTCTATAACCAGCAGACATAATCCCATCCTTCTTCATGGAAATTCAGCTGGAGATAAGGCATCCGACGTGGTTGTCGAATTTTATTTCTCGCATTTATGAGAAAACAACTTTATAGACATTCTTCCTTAAAACGTGGAATCATTCAAAAAGGAGAACGCGTGTCAATAAAATGGCAAAATAGTCGAGCATCGCAGATAACGTGATTCAGTAAACCTGAAAAGAGGTCTTTTATTTACGATTACATCTTAAAGTGACAGGGAACTACACGTTTATTTAAAAAAAAACTATGGATGCAAAAGAAGACCTAGAAAATCAAACGCAAAACCTTACCCCGCGTGCAAGAAAAGCGACGTGACGATTCTAGAAATTTGATCTGGCGTGTCCGGGAAGAAGAACGGCACCATCCCACAGACCTCCTGCAAACAGCGCACCTAAAAGTGTACGTATAGATTACGCTTGGTGTGTAATCAGGCTACATTAGGCCCCAATATCTTCAAATTTGGGGTAATCCGTGAAACTGGACAAACTCACAAAACGCATAACTTGCAAACCCAACCAGTTCATTATCACGTCTAGATTAAAATGGGAACACATTCAGGATTTGGCACATAATTTTAGATTCGTTAAAAAGGAATTGAAACAATAAGATTAATCTAGGGGGTATGTCATCACAATTTACTAGTCAGAATGCCTAGTGCATAACACCCAAGTTAGCATACACAACTCAGAAATCATTACAATTAAACAGAATTAATTTCCGTTTATGTTTGGAAGAAATAAAAACAAAATAACGCCATAGAGTCTGAGCGATCTCGAGAATTGTGACCAAGGAGGAAAAAAGTGGCTAGTAAATACTTGAAAGATAAAAGTAATGTTTACAAATCCTCGGTTGAGATTATTGTCCCATATGCGATGATGGCATACTAAATCTGGACTTATTGATAGGCGCAAAAGTTAGCAAATTTAAAAAGGCAAGCACCGAATCGTGCCTTTTGGTCAGGCAGTACCCAACAGGTCGCCCCTATCCGTGTCAGACACCCGGTGCAGGTGGCGAGGTACACGAACAAATGAGGTCAGACTTAGATTCCAAGTCTGATCTATGTGGTGTCAGGAGCCAACGTGCGTGTGTGTCCAACTGAACGCTTCCAAGTGGCAATTGGGTTTTCCACAGAGGAAGCCCAGAACAACAAGTGTCACCACAGTGAGGACAGAAACGGCGTTGTTGAGAGAGACCCACCTGGGAGCAGAGTCGTGCCTCGGAGTGGAAGCGTCCGCGAAGGAAGCTGCAGTGCTCCAGGGTGGTGATGATGCACTCGCCCTTGAGCCCAACACAACAGGGTCTGGCGACCACCTCGCACTCCATGTGGGGCGCGAAGCCCGCAAGCGACGAAGTGTTAATTGGTCGCGTGCAAATCTAAAGTGTTGAACAAAAAACGCGTTACTGGTGAGGCAGCTCGACAATACGTAGACAACAGGACGGGTCTAGGAATAAGGAATGGCATATGCTGATTACAAAAACGCACTGGAGTTTCCTATTCATGCACAATACCAGAGGGCAGTTGCGAACACAGACGGCGACTGTTGGCAAACGATATTCACTGTGTAAAGACAAATCCTTCACACAAATTGCGCGAGATGATGAACATACAAGGTTGTGGAGATTAAATTCAAATAAACGTTAAATGAGAATCAAAGAAGCCCAAAAGGCTATTTTAATCGACAAATCACATTTCAATAAATTTGCAAGTTAAAAATTTCTGAAAAAAAAGAACACGCAAAAGCATAGCACCAGAACCCAAGAAAAAGACGAGTTAGGAGTTGCGTGGATCCGTTAACACATTTATTGAACAAATTACCAACTAATTCATCCGACAAAAGAGAAATCACAACTATACCAACGCTACCAATGACCACAGAGTTGGATAAAAACCTATAAGCATAAAACACGTACACATTTCCGCACGTACGGGCCATTCGGTGACATCATGCTGGGACCACGCGAACGGTCCAGTTGATCGGGGCTCGGCGCAAAACTCAGGATCCAGACCGCAGACGGGTCCGATGGGGACTCGGCTAGGGAGTGAGGAAGGATATGGCAGCAGGCCATCTCTGAAGGCGCCCCGAATCTTGGGGTCGAAAATGGCCTGGGCGACGGGCGATCCGTTAGCCTCCGAGTAGTGCAACCACGTTGACGTGCTTCTGGAACAAAAGAGACGACTCGTTTGGTAACAGATGCCATCCTCACTGCGGATACAGCAACCGCTCCTAAAAAGAGAGCAGATGATATGAAAACGGTGGGGCTGGCAATGTGACAACTAGGGTCATCATAATCAGATCTGCCTGTCCGTTGGCTCATCAAGGTCCAATACAGCCCACAATAAACCTTGGACATACGTAAGCATTTTGGTACACAAAACACTGAATGGAACCCCATCATATCAGCAAATTTCGAGATTTAATCGGCTAAGGTTAAAAATATCGAAACACATGGGCGAGGCATCGCAGCATAGTTGCGGTGAATTCCAACTAGTCACAATTAAAGAACATGCGTTTAAATTTTGCCATGGTAAATTAGAATACTAGATTGAGACAAACCCCCTTTTGGCTAATTTGCTACATTACCGCGATTGTACTTGTATTTTTCGCAAAGTTCTGCGCATGGAAGGTAATTTTCATTCAACAAGAACACAGCCGTTGTCTTCCCCGAATATTTCTGTTATGTTCTTAGCCCAAACAATGGAGGGACAAATTTGTGTACCCAACGATTTGGGGGCAAAGGCACGGACTCGATTCGGTAAACTAGTTATAAATGGGAACTTAAGCCCCAACGACCCGACTAGATTCGATGAGGACATTTGGAAAGCGTTCTCGAACTAACAGACGAAATGTTATCGAAAAAAAACTATTTTTGCCACCGCTACTTAAAAAAACGAACGCACATAGGCTTCGACCCAATTCACCAATCATTTGATAATCTGGGCAGGTTATCTAGCATTAACCTTGACGTTTCTCACCTACTCCCAAAGCAGTAAACCCAACTTGCATGGTTCTGGCACAAGAGTAGTACGATAAGAGAGGTCTGGCTAAATCGAGAGGTCTGAGTACTGAAAAAGCGCATTAATTGAGAAACAACTAGTAATTCACTTTTCTTCGGAGATCATAAAACAAAACCTTAAGGAACGGCATTGTTGTGATAATGTACAGCTACCTACGATAGGGTAACAAGCAAAAACAGGAAGAAATTAGTACCTTCGGTCCCAATTCTTCTGTGCCTCTACAACAACCTTGTTCAGAGTCTCGTCAAAACGCATACAGGGTGAGAAGCGAGCGCCCATGCGGATAAGGTCGGCCTGTTGAGGCCCGATCCAAATGTTTTCGTCCTGAATCCTGCACACATTCTCAGTGTCGAGGGAGGGCATCATTAATTGCTTGGTGACTAGGCGCTCCAAGTTAATTCCAATGGGTGCAAAACCGTAGCCGCTACAGGCGAACACCATCACCAACACGTGGATGAAGCAGAGCATGTAAGTGAAGTAAGGTCTGCAGAGGAGAAGAAAACCTCAAAAAATATGCATGCAAACATAATGATATCGCGTCTCCCTCGTTGGCGTCAGGTAGTGGTATAGTGTACCCACGAATGCTTCCACCGTCATAAATAAAAGGTATACGTAGCAACGACGACGAATTTCGACAATCACACCTCAGGAGGTTATACAAAGCATACAGTGGTCAGACAAATGATCCGACCCTCCAAATTTCAAGAGACAAAACACTTAGATTTTAAGCTCAACTTACCGGTAATCCGACAGGTTATCCACTTGGCGGTATATTTCCTCTGTCTGCTTGGATCTCTGAAGAAAATTATTAAAGGCACCGAGTCGCCACATTAGTCTTCGTCTGTTCATAGACCCAGTGACAGCAGAGCGGTAGGGTTTTGATAAAACCAACGGTGTAAATGGTGAAACCGGTGTGGAAGACGTATCATTATGGTTGGCACGAGGGCGGATAAAGTAAGGAGAGCTCCCTTCTGACTGTGCGTCTGCACTGCGATCGTGTGCTTGCGTCGATTCGGCTACCTGATTAAACCGACTGTCTGGGGTCAGGGGTGTCTTCCTGGCACTGGGACTGTGGTCCTGATTCATCTCAGCAGTGAAGTTGAATGCAGAGGGGAGGTTTAAGGGAGGCGGGCGTAGCATGGATAGCCGGGAGGCTCTGAACACGGTTGACACTTTTGGCTCCACGCATGACGAGAGTAATGCATCAATTGCCGCCAAATCACCTGCACCCTCAGTCTGTTCAACCTCAAAATCTCTTTCAATTTCAGCAAATTCATCCAGTCGATCAGGACATTTGGACAGCTGTGAGTTAGAAGTCGATGGAAAGAAAAAACGACGTTCGTCTGAATGGTGAATTGCAGACGCTCCTGGTTGTAAATTATGAAGTTCAATACAGCTTTGGCATTTAAAATCGTCAGGCTGAGAGGTGTCCTTTCCTGGCATAAAATGTTGGCAGCGACAAGGTGACGAAATAGGACCACCGTGAAAAAGCAGTTTTTTACCGTCAATGTTGGCAATGGTTTCCTTTACAGGGCCTCTACGACCTAGATTTCGAGGCCTAAGGGCATTACATGGACTCTGTCGACTCACTGTAATGGAAGCATCGTCTTCCAGAACAGGTGAGGAGACAATGATTCCAGCGGGTAATTTGGCAATGACGGATTCCGAAGTGGGCACCTAATAAAAGGATAGGGAATGATCACTGCTTACGAAAATGCGAACCAGTAGTATTGACAATAGTAGTGCCCAGTATAGGTTACACTGTCCTCATCAGGTACGTGGGAAGATCATCTTCAAAAAGCTTCAAGCATATCGTAAGGTGCAGATAATATTACACTTGGCTACGAAAGTTTGCCTGCGTGAAGAAACCGTCCAAAACCACTAGTCGTGTTTGAGCAGCTTGAACTTGGGCAATTTTAAAATCATAGAATTATTTTAATGCCAGTGCTTTGCTGTAAATAATCATACAAATCCGAAAACACGTTACATGATCAATGCTTAGATTTTACTATGTCGAACTACCACCCTTCCCTATAAATGGTCATACGTTCTCGAATTAAGTATATAGTTTAGAAAATAGACATAGATCAGAAAATAAATTAGGTTTACTTCCAAACTGTGTGTTAAATACCCTTAGTCCGCAAGGGAAGTTTCATTTAACAGTTGCTATTTAGACCATTATAGCGGATTCCCATAATAAATGACTTCAAAATCCAAGAAAATTACCATGGGTGGCACCTCAAAAATGTCCGAAATGGTTGTTCCTCCTACTTGATATTACGCAATTCCTTTGCATTATATCACCTCTATTATGGCCATATGATGTAAATTACAGTGCATCCAGTACAAGATACTCTCCTGACAATTGTCCGGATGGAAAATTAATACAAATTATTATAATCTTAGGTGAATTTAATGCCCAAAATTTTCGATTTCTCATTTAAAAGTTGATGTACTATTTGCTTATGAGTTCAATTTTTTCATCCTGTTTACAAAAATGAGTAAATTAGTCAAACTGTCAATTGTGAACAAGAGCAGCACCAAGTTTAAAAACGATGTGGTATAATGATTCTACTCTGTACATTCTGAAATAACAGGGCTTCGAGAAAAGAGGCATCCAAAAATGATCTAGCTCCTGCTGAGGGGTAAATTACTGACTATGAAGAAAATACGCTCCATGTCACCCTTTACACACCCAAACTACTTAAACAATGGGTTTAGGAATAGGAAACTTGATTTAAGAGATAAAATTCTAAAACTGGAAGATGGACGTAAAATCAGAATACTGTGAGAATAAAACGCACGTATTTGTCATGTTTTACTCCAAGTCCATTGGTGATGGGTCGCCTTCGACGAACAGCCGTATCAATGAAGAGGTTACTCAATGTACGCAGTGCGGAGTTTCGATAAGCGCCAACACCATCAGGCGAAAACTGTGCAGGGCTTCCAATTTGAGTCATAAGACTGATCTTAAGCAAACCAAGACATCTAAGAACTGGAATATATGGAAAAATACAGTTGCAACTACGAGAACGTACCTGCCGTTTCAACGACGGTGTTAGAGAACAACCGGGTTCCAAGTCCGATGTGTTGTAGTGATTGAGAGAGTTATCCTTTAACAAGAAGCAGAATACTTATATTCTCAGCATTGATGTATGCAGGCTAATGGCACAATTTGTAAGTGGATTTAATTTGATCTACATATAGCCAGTAAATGCATTTTTTTCCGGATAGCATTTCAATTTGAGAGACAATCCCCATTCTTAAGAAAAATTTTACAAACCGTATGAACAAAGTAAATTTCAAAGCATACATTCTGGGAGTGACGCTAGAGATAAAAATATTTTTACTAACGATGAATATGTACAACAAGATAAATGATTGACGCACCAACTTATTTGGATTAATATTGCCATATTTTTTCACGTTATACCGTATTCGCCTACAATTCCAGTCTTCATTCGCATTGATGAATTCTTGGAGAAATAACGCAAAGGCTCTTTCCTTGAAAGTGCAAGGTGATAAAACGGACCTTATTGGAGAAAGCTATTATCAGATAAACTAGCTACAAACCTAGAATTCGATTGATCTTTAGAACAAGGATTATGCGATGGCAGTTCCTTAGTCATATCCATTAAAGCCTTAAAACAGTAAGGCTAAATACTAATCCATTCTGTAAAAAGAAATAAAGAACACCCGCTTATTTAGAAAAGCGCACTGAAAGAGATTATAATAATAAACAAGAAAACAGGGGTGAATAAAAAAGGAAAAGATTTGCATTCTAAGAGCGCCTATTTACAATGCTTGAACAAACACTAGAAGTATTTTATCCCTTTGTTCCATCAGATTTTTAAAATACTTTGAAAGTTTTTTTGTATATCTTAGGTCAAAAAACGAATTAAAATCTTTCATATATGCTTAAAAAAAGACTTCAGACTCACGTTTAAGAGTCTTAGAGAGCTGTTGTATCTATATCGTCTAATGCATGTCTTGGGCACCTACGTTGCATTTTTCCGAGAAGCAAGGAATTTGTCAAGAATTTGCTTTAAATTTATTTATAATGGTATATTTGAAGTTTTCTTATTAGCGTATGCTTAACCATTTTAACCTATTTTACTTTTGGTAATTATTTTCCGGCCTTAGATAAAAATTGATCCTGTGTATCCATAAATTTGCGCTTAAGTGAATTTTATCGAGCATTAATTACAAAGTTGGCAACTTTTCTTAGGCTTAAATGCCTACACTGGTGTCATTTACAAAAAATTATATGCCTGCAGGTTATGAAGTGTTAATTTAGAATTATCATTTAACTCTCAATTTGCGGTCTTTATAAGTTGAAAAAATTTACTGGATCATGAGATAATTGAATGCTAGGCCGAGATCTTATCAAATTGTGTATGGTATAGAAAAATTTTAAAAAAGTGCCATGTATTCTATTAATATTTTAATTTTCATCAACTGTTAATGAAATAAATTCAAAAACTTCCATTTGTCTTGGCAGTAACGCTTCATATTTAGACTTTTAATTATACTTACTGATAAAAATGAAATTGCAAATTTGGAAAACTTGATAATTAATTTGTTTAAACGGGTAGTTGGTCGTACCCAGGCATCCGGCTGTGAGCCAATCTGCTTTCGCTTTGTTTGGTTCAAGGTGTGGTTTTGATCTTCCGCACTCATTAAGACGGCGTCGACAGTTGGAGCCAACGATTTGTCGTTATTTGCTATGAAAGAAGGTGACCAAATTGCCGATTCAGAGAACTGGAAAGCCTCTCTTAGCCTTCCCGAGAAGGACGCTCGAATAAGAACCGCTGATGTGGCCGCGAAGGAGGGTTGTAGCTTCGACAACTTCTGTCTGAAGCGCGAACTGTTGAAGGGGATATACGAAAAGGGATGGGAATATCCATCACCAGTACAAAGGTCTAGCATTCCAGTCGCATTAACTCGTAGAGATATCATTGCCCGCGCCAAAAACGGTACCGGAAAGACTGGTGCATACTCTATTCCCATCCTGGATTCAATTGATACATCGCTAAACAAAATTCAGGCTTGTATATTAGTCCCAACCCGTGAGCTTGCACTTCAAACCAGTCAGATATGCATTGAACTTGCAAAACATATGGATGTCAAGACAATGCTTGTAATTGGTGGAACATACCTTAAGGATGATCTTATTCGACTGAGTCAAACTGTGCATCTTGTAGTGGGGACTCCCGGACGCTTAGTTGATTTGATGTCTCGAGGCTTTGTTGATCTTAGTCAGTGCAAGACCGTTGTTCTTGATGAAGCTGACAAGCTTCTATCTGAGGAGCTAAAGCATGCAGTTGAGCAGTTGCTTGAAAAGGTGGATGAAAATAGGCAGTTGTTGGTGTACTCAGCAACCTACCCTGTCGCTGTCCAGTCCTTTATATCAAAACACCTCAAGAACCCCTATGAAATCAACCTAATGGAAAGGTTAACACTCAGGGGCATTACCGAATACTACGCATATGTACAAGAAAAGCACAAGGTAAGTTCTTGGTGTTGGTAGCATTTTCTCCAGGTTCACTGTTTGAATACTCTGTTCTCCAAGCTCCAAATTTGTCAGTCCATCATCTTCTGTAGTTCGGTCCAGCGTGTCGAGCTTCTCGCGAAAAAAATCACGCAATTAGGTTACTCATGTTTCTATATTCACTCCCGGATGTCACAGCAAGATCGTAACCGCGTCTTTCACGATTTCCGTAATGGTAGTTGTCGGACTCTCGTCTGTACCGACCTACTAACTCGTGGTATTGATATACCGACTGTTAATGTGGTGATTAATTTTGATTTCCCGAAATATGCGGAGACTTATCTGCATAGAATTGGACGTTCTGGGCGTTTTGGACATCTAGGCATCGCCATTAACCTCGTTACCTTCCAAGACAGGTAAGATTAAATAAGGTTAGTGATTTTTTCTAGGTATGCGTTAAAAAATATTGAAAGAGAATTACGCACGGAAATCAAACCGATTCCCAAAGAGATTGACAAGCGGCTGTACGTTGCTGAGTTTCAGGACGAAGCTAATATGGATGACGAGACTAAAGCTGCCCTTTATCACGGTCGTGCTCTTCAGCCGCCAGAAGCTATAAACGGCGCCTAGTTCCTACCTCGCCGTTTCCCTGTTTTTCGGTTATCGCGTAATTACTACCTAGATGGTTTCCCGAGACCATTCCCTCCCGTGATATCTTGTATATTTCTCTGTAAAACGTTTATTTTTTGTTACGACCCCCATACCCTTGTACATAATCTTCTCATTTGTACAGATGGGTGTTTTTGCCCATAGTTTGTATGCCGCTCAGACTATCGATCTTCTGACGCGCCCGAGAAATTGTCGTGCATTTCCAGCCTTTCAAATCAGTTGGCGGTCGTTTGACCGTTTTATCACCGTTACAATCAGAATGCCTGCACAATGTGCTAGAGTGCCTCTCCTTGGTCATGATGCGCTGCTCGCAAGCTTGTCTCCGGTTCGTCCGCGGCAGCGTGTGTCTTTTGGAACGCAAGACCAAACTTAACTTCCTTTTTCTTTCTGCCTGTTGGTCAGTGGTGATTTACTCTGCGCTTGCTCTCGGTTTTGGTCGAAGAAGCTGACCTTGCTGGTTTAAATAAATTAATATCAACTGGTTCCTCTGTCTCAGCAGTATGTTTAGGTGACGGTTTTATCGGTCAGTTTGGCTCGTGGGACCGTTTTGTGACTAACTTTATAGACGCCTACATATTTCACTGATTGCTACCGGTTCGTATCAGTTGTACAGTATTCGGTGTCTGAGGCCACTTAGTCGTGTTGGGCCGTGGTGCCTAGTGCCGTCTTGCTCCAAAATTATTGACCAGTCCTTTGTTGTGTGCCCTCCCGTCCATGGGCTCATTGGCGTTTGGTTCCCTTTGGCCCGGGAACTGTTGGTCCTATTTTATCAGTCACTGGAGGCCGCCATATCGCCGGGTAAAGGCAAGGTGCCACCCAGAATTAACTAAGGTAGTGCCCGCGTCTGAACAGAATTTTTATCCGAGGTAGTGAAATTGGCATCGCAGCAGGGTGCTGCCCCACTTTTGTGACTGCAGATTATTTTCCATTCCTGTCCGTTATTTTCACATGAAGAGCTAAAAGACTTCCTAATCGTAGAATATCATTTGTTAATAACCTGCTACCTCTGTGTCCAACAAATATCTTTGTTTTGATAAGTATCTAGCGCATTCCATAACAAAAGTACAGAAGTCTTGTATTGTGCAGGATAATTTACACCATCACACCTTTCTTTACAAATTAAAAGTATATGTAATAATTACTAACGGTTTGCGGTCTTTGTTTTGCAGCACAATATCGTGAACAGTGTTGCTAATGATGAGTGGTTCTACTAGGTGTTATGCTTTCAATTGACGCAGGAAGCTGAAATGGCATATGCTACCCCTCAAATGTGAGCTTCTTCTGAGTAGCGAATTCTCAAAATCGATTTTTTAAACTCAATTTTTAGATCCGTTTTCAAAGCTTTCTTGAAAATGAACCAGTTTTTGCCTTGGAAAACATTAATTTTAACAGAAATGGGACTTTCATTGAAACACCAGAATGGACTGTAAATTTATTATTTGGATTCCATCCAAACCCCACATCCACTTCTTACTTGTCCGGTGTATCAAGCCTGGTTACCGTGTAACTACAAAAATCCTGAAAATTAAAAAAAGTTTGCTGTATATATTTTACTTACCTAGCTCCGCAAGAGTCTATGAAGTCACAAATACTTATCGAATTTGGCGTTGCTCATAAGATATACTCTCAGTGTAGGGCTTGCAATTTTTGAACTCAAAGGCAAAAGCATTTGTCTGAGACAACTAATTTCTTCCACATCTGTACACCCTACAATAGAAAGGTCGCCAGAATTACACTGTGCTGATGGGCTTTATTCTAGTCCTTATGCCTTTTCCGTAGTCTTTATTGTATTGACGGTAATCTAAGCTATATTCGAAGACACGCAGAGGTACTGCTTGGGATAGGGTTCCACTTGTGCATTCGTTTCTGCATATCTTGTTGTGAAACGTAAAAATTACGAGGCTAATATCGATGACGTAGAAAATGTGGGGAAATTTGGGTTGGTATTTACCTACTACACGGATTCGTGATGGTTCTAATTCATTAAATGAAAATGCAATGTACACTTGAATGTGGCATTCATTTTAACTCACACAGCAAAATTCAGTTGGATTGAGCATTTTGTGTGCATCAATATCAGCCCCCCAAGATATGATTCAGCGAGGGTTTCTTCAAGTGGTTTTCACCTACACACGCTTGTCGTGCCACGTTAGGTTCCAACTTGTTTTACCACATTAGTACATTAAAGCGGGATTCAGAATCACTAAGAACCGAATTCTGACCTCCTTGATATTACAGTGCTCAAGGCATATGTAATTCTGTTTGGGTTAAGTCTTGAACATGAGTCGGGAGCAGTATGAGGTAGTCCAGTCAGACTCTTTTTCGATAATTTCTGTGCTTGGAAGCCCTAGTATAAAATAAGGAGATTTTGTAGTCGTATTTTTAACCCCAAGACAATAATCTATCATGCTGCAATTCAAATTACGTCACCCTTTCCCCTAACTACCATATACTTGATAATACCTGTTTTCAGGATAGTGAATTTTGAGAGTAAGCTATGGCAGCTCGTGTATTCAAGCTTTCAGACATTTATTTACTGGTTGTCGAAGAAGATAATTTTACCGGACATCATGAGGTAATAACGCATGCCTTTAATGGATTTATGGTGAGAAGATTAGATGGCAATATTTCCCTTAAGATGTCAACAATAGGCTATTGCAGTCACATTTCCAGCATTGGCTCACTTTCCTAGACGAATGTAACCAATTATCATTAGTAATGTCATCGCAATAATACATCACTGCTAGTGTCTGACCGTGTTCAGCACGGATAAAATTCCATTGATTCTTGCTGTTCATCACAATCTACCTCTTGGCACTTTGTCAAGAGACCCTTTAGTTTCACTTCAAAAACGATTCATCTGGTTCAGACACTGACATGACTTGAGAGAGTCGCTTTAGAGCAAACTCACCACTATATATTGCAAGCGTCAATGTTTAAACAAGTAGGAGAAGGAACATAGTAATGAGGTGAAATAAAGAAGCATTTGCACATTATTACGACCGCGTTTAGACGCTATTCGCATCATGTTCCTGCAGCCAATCATTCAAGGCGGCTATAGCATTGATCTCACTCTTACCGAATTCCAGCTATGTGAGTGTTAATACTTAAAATCACTGTAATTTCTTGCACAGATTCCCACCCATGTTGGTGCAATGCCTAACTGAAATTCACTTCAGTTATCATTCTTTTGACACACACCCACACTCCTTTGTGAAGCGTCCTTTCCGATAAGCCACCTGTATCAAATCATTTCCCCTGTTCGTGTGGCCAGGTTCATGACCATATTCCGAGTGGACGTCTGTGACTTATAAGCATGGACGATCTCGTAAACACAACACGCACCTGCGATGAGCCACCTGACGGACGGTAGTTCACCGGACGCCCTTGGTCTGGCGGTCCGGATGTGGGTTAGAGACTTCCATAAGCAATGGCCAGTGAGTGATCACTTGACCCACTGGATATAATTGCTGGCGATGACTTTGCCTCGACTGCGTCAATCCCCTCCCTCTCAGAGTGGTGATCCCAATGTGATTTTAGAGCCTTATGATAATACTCTGCAGGAACTTTGACAAGGTGTAGCATGTTGGCAGTTACTGCAGCCCAATTGAGCTTTTAAATTTAGATATGCCCTGGAAGACCGGGGTATGATACAGTGTGCAGGATCCCGACAACGCTATTTGGTGCATATATGCACACAATGGCAGTCAAATGTGCAAATCCTGCAACATAGCGCTGTTTTTCTGTAAACGGGTACGGCTTTTACCTGCAACGATCAATTCTGAATGGAATCTCGAATTGCTTAATAGTTGTGTGAAATTACATACTTATGGTGCGTACATGCATACCTAACAGCCTGGTCTCTCTAGTTTCCAATAGATAAATTCGCTACAATTTATTATCTTCATATAGACAAAAACATGATGTTAACAATTCCTATATTCTGTCAAGACACTTGAGCAAAAATAAGTGATTAAATAAATTACAACTGATGTAATGCCAATTTTCAAACAGAGCTAATCTATTTAAGGCCACCTTATTTACGTAGGATTACTTGGGCTCACTTAAGGACCCCATTTCCAAGAATCAAAATGTCTAGATTTGTATTGGTAATATTCCACTTTCACAAGTTGGAACCTTTCGTCTACCATTAGTTTCTTTTACTGAAAATCCAGTGTCATTCTTTCACATATACGGAAACCAGATGAGCATGGAATTGCACCGCAATAGCATCCTTATCAAATCTAGCTGCTTCATCACTCCGAATACGAACAACTGCAAATGATGCGTAACTTAGAGAGGATGTGGACCCAAGACAAAGCGTGATAACCCGATAATCATTTTGCATTTACCAAAAGGCAGAATTCGTCTAACAGAAAACATAACAGCACGATTCTCTAGGACATCGACATTGTGCTGATAGTTTCTATAGGACATGTGTTCTAGGTTTTTTAATGTATTAAAATGCAAAGATTGACATTTCGAGCATATTTTAAAGCGGTTGTTCCTTATTTGAACCCCTAATTGAGTGAATCCAGAACACAAGTCCAGACTGTTTCTGGAGTGTTCAGTAACTAACCCACTGACCAAACAATTTCATTGGGGAAAAAGGCCGGCAATTGCCTCCAGGTCTTACTTGGCCCTTGATTCGACAACGCGGTTTACCTTATCTGTCACAGTTATTAAAAAAATTTCAGATTTGCAAGTTCTGTCGTTTTCATACGTCGATTTATGAAGTCACGTCGGTAAAATACAAGTGAATACACCGATTAACACAATCTTTCAGTTGTGTAAGGGTAAATCTAGGGAGCTAGAAATTTAACATCGACACATGCGGCCAAGGATCAGGTGTATTAAGCCAATCGTAAACGACCTTAATTTACAGAACCTTGCCAAAACTACACACAATCATCGAATATTTGCAGGAAATGAGAATACCCAGACCATTTAGAAAACATGCCCCCTATGAGAAGGAATTTAAAAATATTTTGGACGTTAGTTTGAGTCCTGTGTATTGCATGCCTAAAATCCACCCCTCCCCTAAGGTAGATATCGCAACATAGCGTCACACCGCTATCACCGAATAAGTACATCGCTGGCGAAAATCGGCACGTGACCGATTCATGACTGTAAAGGTGCTAATTACTGTAGCTTAGAGCTATCGCAGGGATTATCCTAATTTTTTTCAAAATTTCATTTAATATTAGCTGTAAAGGAGCATACACTACTTATAGCGGATTTCATCACTTAAGTCACTTTGCATGGCTTGGGCGAAATATGTAGCCGTAAAGCCCTCACCACGCTCGCATGCAGCCCTTAACGTCATCGCAAAGATCGTCATGTCTGGCGGAAGCTGCGCGATAATCACCGACGGTAAGGCAAACAATGTGGTTTTTACACCGCCGCTAACGGCATATTCCGACGAGCTGCACGAAAAGTCAAAAGAATTGCGTGTCAGGATGTCAGTGCTACCGACAAATATCATCGTGAGTTACGAATTTCTAATTAATCCACTCCCGCGTCACACCTTTTTAGTCATACTTCTTGACTCCGCACTCACAAGTCGTCTACATCATGAGGTCGAGTTCCTACTAGCTAATCCTTCTCCCGTGCTACTCGCACGATGGCTGAAACAGTAAACTCGCCCCCCAAGGTTCAGTCTTTTATTGGTCAAAAGTGTTTTGCCGAAGTTGCTGGAGCAGAGAGTCGCTAAGGGGTTAAATATCAGCTTCTAGAGTAGTGGACGGAATAGGCACTCAATGTGTATGATTTATACTTCACTCAAAAACAACTTCATCATTTTGAACTAAATTCGGATTCTCATATGCGTGCTTCTGAATAAATTCCACCCGAGACAGCATTGCAAGCTTTAACACACAGTGACAAATGCATCACGTGCCGACCACCAAGTGAACACATCGCGCCACCCGGATAGGGGACCATAACTTGACGTTTAACCCATTTCTTGATACCTTGTTGCCCACGCCTTGTTAACTACCACACAAGTTGCCCCATTTGGTGTACTACTAATACCCAGCAGGTTTTGGCTTCTCGGAAGTATGCAGAACTTGGCACACTCAAACCCCGATTACTAGAGATTCGTGGTTCCACTGTCCACTAGCTTCGGCTACCGATTACATTTTTGTACACACTGTAGGTCACCATCGCAAACGCGGTCCACGCGCCCTCACGTACCTGCAACACAAGACAACCTAACACATAAAAATACTTGCATATGCGTAATGCCATCGTGGAATCAGAGGGTGGAGTGTAATTCAGCATTCCCAGTTGCTGATCGTTTCGACATTCATCAAGGCTTACTCCCTATTAGCACTTTGACGTGAACTGTTTAATCCATGCCTCGTGGATCAGGCCTCAGACCGATTGCAGTGACTTTCTGGATAAACAAGCTACTTCAAAATATTAGTAAATGTAGAAATTTCAACAAAGAGGACACAGAGAGGACCCGACAATCCACCAAGACAAACGAGCAGAACGATCGTCAGAAAACTCCACGTTTATTAAAACATTTGACAAGACACTGACATGACAAAGAGGAGTGAAAAAGTGAGTATGTACATACAGGAGAATACCACAAAGGCTAGTCCGAACCCACATCGACAGTTACCGCTTCAGGTTCGGTGTCGACTGAACTGCGCTTCGCGGAGGCAGACCCCGAGTAGGTGGAGTGCAGGTCAACTTTCGACGCCTGCGAATAGAAAACCAGCGCTCACATTAGACTGCAGAAATGCACGACTGATAGAAAGAGTACACTACGCTGCCATTTGTGTAGCAACGTGATAACCCCGAAACCACGTATTATGTGGTAACATTGAACAGACATGATTGAAGCCAGATATAGCGGTAGCAGATAGAGGTTTCGCTGCTGAGGTACCAGATACACGACTTTGGAACAAGAGGAAATACTTTGAAATTACGAGATTTTGTGAGCGTCGCTTATTTTCGACACCAACATCCGACTGTTCCGTGAGGGTTCAATAGCCACAGAACACTGTCAGCCTGTATTAAAAGGTTACCCTGCTATGTCAGTAAGATGCAACCGACGGGGCTTACAATGGACTTTACTAACAATCGAATTGTGTGGTTACGTGCTTGGAACGTAGACGGTGTGTTTAAGCAATCGGATTTCCTGAAAAATGGGCCGCCCACAAAGACTCGAGGCTATGGCCGTTCGAAAACAGGTCATACGCGTTTCGACCGAAGCCCAGGTGAAAAACGAACAAACGAAGTAGGGGAATAAACAAACAAAAAACCCTGAATAACTAACACGACTTATGTACCTCATGGACGTTCGATTCTAAAAAAACCAGAATAGTATTAAAACATAGATGAGCAGAGGTAATACATAGCACTGGCGCTTACTTGAAGACGCCCGGATTTAGGCGAAATTGTCCCCTAAAATGAATAAAATCAGATAAGTACACCGTGGTGCATCTGCGGCCTTTACTGCAAATATCAATGCACTCTCTATTGGAAATCTAAAATGATGAAAAGTTAAACGATCAAGCCTTGTAAAGCCGGTGCATCCCGCAAAAATTATGATTAGACATTAAAGTAACAAATTAGTCAAGCCTCGAAACAACCATCAAGGAATCGGACATCAAGCGGAGCAGACAAACAAGTCTCAAGGCCTGTGTACTTCAGGAAAGTTCAAGTGAATAAGTTCGACAACACAAGAGGCAAGTGGCTACAAACTACTACGAAGTCGAAGGTTTAAACAATACTGGTTTGTCCGTTTCAACAAGCCGGTCAGAAACTAGGCGTGATGGGAATGGCTTAAAGAATGAAGTCTGAATTTGGTAAAGTGAACTACATTTCACCTGTGCAGACAAATTATTATTATTATTCTCCACACACAGTTGTACGAAGAATCAAGGATTACTTACCTTCATTACAGAGGCCACAGTGAAATTCACTATTAACAAATTCGGAAATGTCGCATCAGGTCGCTTTAGTCCTAGTTAAAATCAAGTTTTTACTACGTTTAAATCATTCATCATGAGGTTCGCAATAAACATTCCACTCGAATTCAGTCCGAAGGCAGGCGTAGTTTCTGCGAAAAGTCGCAACCACCGGACTCACACATAACAGAGCTACCGTCGATACATAGTATTTTGCCCTCGGGTTAAACTGATAGATTAACAGTTACAACTTGAGTCAGTGATTGAAGTTGCGTTTTTTTCTGCTCGTGTTGTTATAGAAGGCTGTGCGTGTGGAAATCGACTTACCAGTCCACTGCTGGCACGGCTACCAGACTTCCGATCAAAGTCGTTTTCAACATCACATTCCACAGTTGGAAGCGAAGGTGTCTGATCCAACAAAAACCACTGAGAATTACTCCGTCCGGCCAAATTCGACATATCTGCTAGTGGGCTCTCCTGTGCTGGGAAGCCATGAGTCTGCCTGAATCCCTCTAAAAGCAGACTATGCCTAGCCGTGCGAGCGAACTCCTTCGGGTAGGAAATGTCCCTTCGCTGTGGGGTCTCCCCAGTTGGAGAATAGTCTCGAATGGAACCGGCTAAATGATCGGAGAGAAGTGCGGGCAAACGAGGGATCAAAGCAGTGGAAACCATATCCATCGCTGGGACAAGATCGCTGAAACCAGCCGCAGTATCCTCAAGCTTGTTCATAGACTCCGCGGTGTAGGTTTCGTTTAGTTTGAGACGACATTTAGAATCCTCAACCGTGCGAACAAAGAAATCGGTGTTTGGCTCGTCGACTTCAGTCGTGCCTTCAGCACTGAGGGACTTCCAATCAGCTGCTTTGTCGAAGAGTTGTTTACCGACACCATTGGGCGACGACATACACTTCTTGGCTGCATTTAATGAGCTTTCTATTAGAATGTCTAGTGAGGATGCGGCATCTCGAATCCTGCTGCCCAAACGCGAGATATCTTTTGTGCAGCAATCGACGTCAGACGAGATGCTTGTGGCAACAGCTGCTTGACTTTCACTAACGAAAGAAATTGACCCTAAAAGGTCCGTTGATAATTGACGCAGGGTGTTCGCTTCAACACTGGCGAGCTGATCGAGACGATCACACTTGGCTGCAAGACTTTCGTCAATCTGGATTGGTTAAACATTAGATTAGTATTTTCTCTAGTCAATTAACCAAGAAGTAAAATAATTTTAAGGTATAAAACAATAGGCAGATGCGCAATCAACTTCACACCGCTCGGGACAATAAAAAGGTGGCTACCTACCTTTTTGTCCGATTCCACCCGAGTTTCTATGAGAACGGAAACACGAGACATGGCTTCCTGAATACAAAAAAAAGTTCAAAGATGCACCGATATGCAACAGATGTCATTGGTTAAAAGTTGGCTTTCTATCATCAAGAAGTCCAGCTGGCGACTAATACCGCATGCACATTGAATTTAGTCAGAACAGTTACACGGTTCTAACCCTGACTTAAAATACCAAATAAGAATATAGTAGAGATTACAGGCGAGCGACCCAGTGGTAAATAAACTACTCGGGTTGCGAGCCTATCTGGACTGGCATAAGATAAAGTTTTCACGTGCCTGTAAGAGTTGAACAAGAGCGTACGTGTCGGCGTTTTCAGCTTTACGTCGCGACTCCAACTCGCCACGAAGACGTTTATTCTCTTCTACCTCCACTTCACGAAGACGAACCCAAGCTTCCGCTGAGTTGGAGAGAGAAGCAGCTTTCACCGCCAACCGGTCAAGCATTTCGGCTTGGGCTTTAGCCTAAGACAAAATGGAGATCTTGAAATTGCAACAAGGGATGGAAAGTCACGCAGTCTTAACAAGAAGGCGGATCGAGAATGTTAGGTTTTTTGTCATCAAACTCATTAATTAGAAATTGCAATCAACGAGTTTTAGTCACCTGCCTTAATTTTGTTTTCATTAGAAAACAAATACAACGAATAAAGGTGCAATCTTTTTGCAATCAGGGGTGTAAAATATCGAGATGTCACTAATAGACTTGGTTAGCTTAATAACTTAGGAGACTGCGGGTCCTGATTTAGACAACACACGCAAATGGCTTCCAGGAAAACGAGAGGTGTTTTTACATACATGGTCTTACTGTTTTGATTCTCGTTAGGTGCAAAATACTTAACTGATTTCTGATTTGTGATCTTGCAAAAAGAAGCAATTTGCTGAAAAAAGGATAAAGTACAGCACAAACGATGAACTGGGAAATAACGCACCTCTGCTTTAAGTCGCCGATCAATGGTCTCAACCTTATTCTGTAACTCAACGACCAGTTCATTTACATTGGAAAGCACTGGATCCATGGTTGTTTCGCGGAAGTCCGCAATTGCACGAGCCTGGTTATTAACATAGTCGTCAACATGCCCCGCGGCTAGACGCAGGTTGGCAGAGACGACTGCTGAAAGAGTAGACGCCAGTTGGCTCATATCCGTTAGACTCTTTTCGCCTGACAACGCCATGTGCTCCCGAAGTCTGGCTGAAAAATAAAAATTCGCTGAGTGACATCAAACTGTAAACTAGTAGCAGGTGCCGGAAGGCAATTTAGATCCGCTTGTGAATAAAAAGATTGCCATAGTGCAAGAAAAACATCAGTGACAAACGAATGAGGAACGTTTAAACTAGACTGATTTTAAAGAATGATTTTAAAACTGACAATACGATAAGCTGGAATAAAAACTAGCAAGCATGAGAGCACTTTAGACATCTTGACAAGGTTCTTGCGAATGACCGTGAAAACAGTGGATTATGAGTACTACACGCGAGTCAAATATTTGAATTTTGTGCCCCGGGGTGTTTGACAGTCATACATTTGACAGACGAACAGATGACATAAGTATGGTCGCACTACATACCTAGATCGGCAGAGAGATCCTGCAACCCCGAGGAAAGGCCAGTCTTGATTGAAGCGACCAAATCAAGCGGCTCCTGAAGCTGTTTTGGGAGCCAAATATTTGGCAAAGCTCCGACTACGGAGCGATTCCACGAGTCGAGGGACACAACACGATCCAACTTTTCATGAATCCCAGATAAATCGGTTTGATACATGGTTGTTGCTGAAAGGAGATCTCTGGCTTGTTCAGATAGTTTCTCCTCAGTACTCTGATGTTCCGAGCGCAAATACATCTCTTCATGTAATCTGCGCTCAGTTTTTTCCAATCGATACACGGTGGCTCTCTAAAACGGCAAAATCCATCTATAATTTGTGATATTGATAAAAAAGCAGACCTATGGTTGGAATTACAATACATTAGCGAATATAGCCGACGAAAAGCGTTTGTGCACGCAACAATGAAACATAACTCACAAGATCTTCGGCTGCCTTGCATAACTCAACCTCCACTCTCTCCTTGGCTTCACGAATCTCAGTTAGTTCTTGTTGAGAAAGCTCGAAGTTCTTTGTCACGGACTCCAAGTCTGATTCAAGTAGTTCTTTCCGACTTTCCAAATCACTTTCAAGGAAAAGCAAAGCGTCGCGTAATACGCAAGATTATCTGGCGTATAACAACAATTAGGACCAAATAGTAAAAGGTTGTACTGATATACCTTGCTTTTCAAGTACTGATTTATAAAAGGATCAAAAGTCGAACACCAAGACGACAAAAATATTGGAATTTAAAGGCAAGCGTTAAAGCGCTAAACGTCAGAAAACATTTTTTAGTATTAAGAAAAATAAATCTCAGGTTCTAGTACAACAGTGGTAGGAAAAGTTAACAGCAAAAAGGTCTGAGTGATATTTGTTAAGGTATGAACAGATTGTCGGCACAACCTCCAATAAATAAGCAGTTAAACTTAAACAAGCGAAGCAGAGCCAAACGAAAACGTACTCAATCCTCGCACGTTGCTGCTTCAGCTGAAACTGCATTGTATTGTAATTATCCGCATCAATAAAAATACCAGTTTTTGAGCGGGCAGCCTCCAGATCTTTGCGCAAACGCTCCAACTCTTCATTGTAGCCTTTGATTAACTGGTTTTTGTTAAGTTTCTGATTTATTTCTGGCCGATTTTGAATGTTTTTTGCGCGGTGAGCGTAATCCAGCGTTGAAATTGTTTCTTCTAATGAAGAACTGCCAGGGCTTATTGTAGCGATAATCGATGTCTTCGTTTTCCCTCCCAGTGAATCCTAGAACGAGGAGCCTAGCAAGTTAAACATAACTTACCTGAAGCAGACGAGTCAATTTGCTTTCACGATAGGGTATGTGAGGAGAATGATCGACAAGGCACGTGATTACACGCCCTAAAGTAAGTAGACTCTGATTTATTGAGCCAGCTTCTCTGGCTCGCTTGTCCAAGGCACCAGATCGGCCGATGTTTTCGCTACCCGCGAGGTCAACCAAATTAAGCTTTCCAATTTTTAAAAATACTTCATCATCTTCAGGACAGATTTCCTTGATATGAACAGTTACGGTAAAGACGGTATGAGATCGACTTGACTGGGCATTAAGGTGTGTGCTTGCTGTTTGTCTTCGTGTGAGGCCTTTTTCCAATATGCTATACACTTCTTCCTTGTTGTGCACGGCGACTTCACGAAGACCTTTGACAAGAACGGAGCCTTTTCTGGTTGAGTCGTCATAAACGCCCAAACGGACATATTCTTCCCCGGAAGAAAGAAGATCAAATAGTTCTTCGTTGTATAGTTCCAAAAATGAAACCCTTACAGAGAAATCGCAACCCTGCAATGTGATCAACAAGTGAAAAGACCTACCATCGATTCGAGGGTCGTGAATATCTGATTTAGAGCCCTAGGAACGATTCCGGCAGTGGGATCAGTTTCCCATGTGTAACGTAAAGAATCAGAACGCTCCCCGGTCATTGTATATGTTTTTCCCGTACCCGTTTGTCCATAACTTCACAAAGTCATTAAATTAGACTAATTACGCGAATATCGTGCAGTTATAACCTTCGATAACCTCAGTAACCGTAGGGGCAACCATGTCATGGTAAATATCTTTTTGTCGAGACTGAGGACCAAATACACGGTCAAAAGTGTATGACCGAGAAGATGTCACCTTATCCTTCACTGTTAATTTCTGATCCCTGCATAACTCAATAATACTAAATTCACCATGGCTTTGTTCTCGTTTATTAAGAGGTCTAAAAATATCACAAGTAAATACAAGCACACCTGCACCGAACGGCAACACGAATGTTTTGATGCGAAGACTTCCTCGAAGACATTGGGACTCAAATTTCGCACACAGCGCTTACTTGCCTTACAACGTGAACTGAGAAGCCATAAACAAACTCCGATGTTCAATTAAGCATAGGTTATTAGGCATTGTTTAATGCTATAACTATTATAATACCATTAACTTTCCTTTTTTCAATTTTAATAACTCTCAAAAACATCAGAAATAATATCATTGGTATAAGTCATGGTGTGTTCGAATTAATTACTCAATTGTCCATTTTATTTTATTGCATAATATGAATCAAAAAGCACTTGATCTAAAGTTTTTTCTCATAATATGATAAACCTTATAGCTAAAAATCTCGCTATTGGTCGCTAGATCAGGCTGTCAGGCGTGAGTGTTGATGAAAATCAGAGACCGTGATTTAAAAGGCTTGATGGTTGACCTTTACAATAGGACATAAGTTGGAATTCCCATACATTTAAGTCCAACTAGAAGATCGCTAACTACTAATTTTTTGGATGGTGACAAGCCTTTGAAGTTAGGATCAGCAGTTGTTGATGGTCCATCACTTCGCTGTTACCAATGTTGATGGCCCGACCATGTAGTCTCAAAGAACTCAGGATTCACGGAGTTTAATCTAACCCGATAACGCAAAGTTAATTATTTGCTTTCATCAAGAAAACGTGAGAAGGCAAGTCACAATCGCTTATTAGATAGCTCAACAGAGTTGTTAGTCGAGCAACTTTGCATAAAAACGTGTCAAAATTAATGGGGTTTTCGATCTACACGGTCTGAGTAAGCCTGCAAATTCGGTGATCAGTTGAACTTATGGAGTGAGATTTGTCAAAATGGAACTGATTTATAATGTTACCACACTTTACGTTCACTAAATTCAAATTGCAAATTGTTATTAAGATTTTGATTTGCCGTTTTGACTTAGGCTTGAATTTGAGTACAAATCTTCGCTAGTGAGATATAGAAGCTCGTGCATTAGCCTGTTTTTCGCGAAGTTGTATTAAAAATAATGTTTCAGAATATGAATTTGAGTTCTTTATGTAGCAGATAATTTATAACCACCTGGCTAATTTTTTCGTTTGATGTAACTGAGAAAGTCACGAGTTAAAGGGGAAACATTTTTCTCCGTTCTAAGGTTATATATTAACCCATAAGCACATTAATTTTTTACCAGAAGCAGTGTATTGAGAAGTTGGATAATCGATATATCAATCCAAAGTCATTTGTACATCCATCTGCAATTTGATGAATAGTCTGGTGGAGTGCTGCAAACAAGACTTGAATATACTGTGTCCTGAAATATTATCATTAAACGTCTATGACTCAAAATATTGTGGTTTTTTTTAAATTCGTAATGTGCGTTTCTTGTTTAATTGCTTTATAGTTAAGTCTTCTCGAAGGCTGAGGACTAAAATTCATTGATTTTGGTAAGAATTCTTGGCATAAAAAACCTTAAAATGCAGTGTTTTCAAGTAAATCATCCGACTCATGAAGTCCTTCTAGAATTATGGTAAATGACAGTAATGACAAGGAAAATTTTCGATAACATGGTTGACAACCATGAATGATTTTGTAGATAACGGATGCACCGGTTTCTAAGATTTAAATTTAAGATAATTTTTTATTATGAAGATGAACCTCTAAAAAAATAGATGACGAATCGCAACTTAGAATACAGCATACGTGATTTCCTTAACAGTGAAATCAAACAGGACTGCAAATTTACACAGCAAAAATGTGGATTGCATGACCGCGCACACTAGGATAAGTCGAAAAGCATCATTCATGAACACCCCTTAAAGAAACTGTTTCGGGTTTGTAGTAGGAATCAGAATTCAAACTACGGATAAATAAAAAATTTACATGATAAAAGTTCATCGGGATTCCCGAAAAACCAAATTATTCGTGTTAAATTCTTCAAAAGTTCATATTTTCTTGATCAAGCCCAAACGTAATAATAATCACCAGAATCATTCTTTTTTTGTAGCTTTAATAGCGTAAAAGTAACTTTACAAATCTGTTTCAAGTGTAAAATTTAATGTTCATGCTCAATTCATTATACCAAAATTAAGAAATAAAGAAAACCTTCTCTGTACTTTTTGCACATATTTTATGTTTTAAAGTTGCAAAAATATTTATATAAGCTCATATCATGAATTAAAAAGCCACCACGAATAAAAGCTTTTGGTTCAGAATAAAGTTGCAAGTTAATATGAGATTTAAAATGTTTTAGGTTAGTAGGTGCATTGATGTGTAAACCAACATAGGAGAAATACAAATTAATTACGTTTTTGAAATAAAATCATCATTATAACCTTTTAGTTCGAACTAAGTTAAACAATTCTTACTAGTGTTTAAGTTCATCACCGAGCTAATGTCAATTTATTTTGAGCTGGATTTGGGTAAGTGTGTTTCCGCCATGTCTTCTGACAGTGCGCCGGTCGCTCGTATTGTAATGCAGAGGTGCACTAGGGCTAGGCTCCAACTTTCCGGTCAGGAATTAGACCCTAATGCTGAATGTGTCCTAATTAACTCAGGATTAATCGTCTATATTGCCTTTCTTGGAGATGTTAGTACTTCAATGATGCAGAAATTGATTAAAATTATATGCAACACGAAGATCTGCATAAAGAACGAGAAACTCGTGTCAATTCTTGATTTTCCGGGGGATATATTGTTAATTCCCCAGTTTTGTCTTGGGGGACGTTTAAAGGGCAAAAATTTTCAATATCATTCGGTTATTTCGAAGGACAAGGCTGAAATATTTTTCAAATCAGTATTCGAGGGGTGCATCACCGAGGCATCTTCTTCTCCTGATTGGGTCTCTTCTGGTTGCCACGTTTATTGCGGCACATATGGAGTTCGTCAGGTTCTGAGTTTCGAGAGCGAGGGCCCATATACTCATATCGTTGAAATATAATTGTAAAATTTGTTTCGCTTCCACTTCATGACCTCAAATATTGTAATCCAGTAAATGATTTGAGTTTGAACAACGGAATTTAACTATAACACCTGGCTTTTATCTCGCTACGTGGTATAAATATCTCACTGAGTCGTTTTGGGTAATCCTCCGGAAATATTCCCTATTTCTGTCTTAAAGGGTTCACAAATTGGAATGTTTAAAAGTCCATGATTTATAGAGTAATATGGCTTTATTAAATGGCTTCAATGGGATATTCCAGGTATTCAGCTCATTCTGTTTTAGTAGCTATACTCTAACGTGAAACCCACTGCTAGACGTTCTGTTTTTTCTATGTCTGCCATTTTCTGACGGTGTTCATCATTCCATGTTTGCTATAATTCCAAACTCTTAGTATGTAATCTCAAAGAATTATGTCCGTGTCACCGTTAGTAAGCATAATAAAAAACCCTGACAGTAGTCATCTTAACTGATATTTCTTTCTTTAAGCATGATTGAGATCACAGCTAACGATCGGCTGGGGAAAAAAGTTCGGGTCAAATGCAATCCGACGGACACAATTGGCGACCTTAAGAAGTTGATTGCCGCCCAAACAGGAACAAAGTGGGATCGTATTATCCTTAAAAAGTGGTACAATGTGTACAAGGACCCCGTTACTCTTGCTGATTATGAAATCAAGGATGGAATGAATTTAGAACTTTACTACAAATGAACTTTCGATTTATTTTAAACAGTACTCTATTTTAACGTGTTTTTGCAAATGATTTTTTTACTTGACGCCTACTGTTAGGTAGCTGTAGATGCGTAATCTTTGAATGGGATATTTAAGAATACATTGAGGGCTATTTATCTACCGCAGCATTGGGGTTGTCACAGCACATTACTAGGTGGGTTTCAGTCCGGTCGCCACGCTTCAAAGGACAGGGTACCCCCAGTGAGGTTACAAGTCCGCTCAGTGGCAGTTGTACGAACTAATCGATATGCCTTATTGCTCGGGATCTTCAAACTGGTGAGTTGCACCACAGCGCGCAATATCGCCGCCTACACGATGCAGAAGTACATGTGACTGACGCATCGCCGTGTTATTGCACTTTGTTATACCATAAGGTTGTAGGGGGCGTGTTCCGTAACCCAGTCACATTTGGCGGTTCGGATTCAAATGGATCGGATGCCCAGGTGTGAGGCTGTCGCTTTTATGCTCACTGCAGGTGCTCATCGACAGTGTCTGAATAGTGTGGCGATGTGACCTCTCCCAACTTGGTGAAGTAAATGAAACGTCAGCGTCTTTGGGTTGTGATGTTTCTGTTGTTTTACCACTTGGGTGTTCTAGTCAGTTCAAGCTAACTAGAGAAGACATGGGGATTATGCGCGTGCTCAGATGATGTGTGCGAGTTTTGCTGCAACAAAAGAACCATTAATGATAGCAGAAATATCACTATATAGTAGCAAGATAAGTAGTCGTGGATTCTGCACGAATGTTGTCCTCTCGCTAACCGTTAGGTTATTAATTTTGCTGACGAGAGCCTGCAGAATGACCTCAGATGGCACAAGGTAGTCGATCACGTTTTTTTACCGAATTGCTGTAGACTTTGCACTATAAGGTAATGGCATGTTTCGAGATGGAATCAAAGGGTGTCGAAATAGCTTGTGGTGCTATGCACTATAAAAAATCAAAGCAAGATTATGTGGTCTTTTTGACTTTGAGGAGCACCGTCCTCACATTTTTGGTACCTCATGTTCAAAACGTAGGAGATTCCTGGGGCACTGTGAAGATACGATTTTAGTTAAAACAGGCATGGAACAACTGCATTTTTGCGGCAGGAGCTCATGACTCATCCAAATACATGAGATTTAATCAGAGTGGTAACGGGGTAAGGTCAAACGGAACGGGGAAACAATGGTTAGGCACGCGACTTATACGGTCGTTTTATCGGAAGAGTGTAAATGAGCTTGGGTTTAGCCACGTAGGTAACCAGTTATAGGTGGTTACCCAAGTGCTCAAACAATTGCTGCACTGTAATTCATCGTGGGCAAGCATTATCGTAAGGTCGATCTGTGCTGGGAATGGCATCCACATGCTACGGTTATGAGGCTTTTATTTAATGATTGCAGTGCAAGCCGTGCGTTCATGAAACAAAGTCATCTTTAATACTTGCTTTTAGGTCCTCTGTTGCATTCAATACTGCGCATCTGAACTCTGTCAAAACAGGACTCACAGTAGAATTGGTGGATTTCATAGTGTAACGAAACAGCACAAGTGACAGGGACGAAAAACTTAGTCTGTTGCCGTAGGTGCTTTTGGGCAATTAGCAAAGCCGCGTTGTTATGGTCAGTAAGTTAGCCCAAATTCTGTAGTAAACATTTGCGGTTATGGCAGTGCTCAATGCCTATGAATGGGCATTATACACAATAAGTGATGTTGTCCATCCCACTGAGAAACAGAGAGACCACGTGTGTTTAGTGTGTGGGTTCCTCGAAACCTTAGACCACAAATCAGCTAATGAGGCATTTTGCCCCAGGAGGTGTTAACTTTTCTTGTGCAGACAAGCAAAAATGCGAACTGGCGTTATGACTTGGTGTTTCACTCTCAAAGGTGACGGACAATTCTGCGATACAGAAATGCTCGACGCTGATTGGCCAAACCGCATTGCTCTTTATTTTAATTTCGATATCTTTATTTCCGGATACACTGGTGGGAAGAGATTTTGGTGCTGGCTAGATTTTAAGCGACAACAGAGTTTGTTACAACAGAACGAGAATTTCTGCTAAATTGCACTTAAAAATCGGTATTGAGTGCCTTTTTGTACGCTTCAAAATATCGGGGTCTTACTTTGGTAGTTTGACAAACAAATAATCCGACACAACTTCGGGGCAGCTTGACATTTAGGAACTGACGAAATCCACCACGGATTTAGCATTCAATCAGGTGTATGCCTTATTTTATACAGATTTGTCAGCAAATTTATTTAATGTACAAAAAATAGAGAAAAACGAACGTAATCTGGCAAATATCGCCCATCGTTTTCTATGTCCCCGGGCCATCTCTCGGGTAAATGGCAGTCGGATGGGCCCAAGTCTGGCTAATATGCTGCTTGTGGCAGAACTTCCCATTCCAAGTTAAAGAAAATCTGCTCGGTCGCACGAGCAACGTGGGGTCGAGGCTGATGTCTGGGGTTGGGATTCGTATAAAAAGCATTGTCGAATGTGCTGTTTATTAGTTGCCATCGTAAACTCAGCGCTTTTGAGAGGTTACGTGACTTGCGCGGACCCGTCGTTCAGCACTATGAAAATTTACATCTGATCCTTTCAAAACCACAAAAGTCCACTGAAAATTTCCACTTTGAACATAATTTTAAGCTCGAGAAAAGAATTTGCAAGAATTAAGCCATGCGCCTATTACTTTAATCATTACATTTAGCTGAAGGGAAGATGGAACTTAAGCGCAAAACGCACAACATTATCTCTAGTGAGAACATTATTGAAATTTCAGTGGCTCGGCTCTAGGTCATTGCCAAAACACACAGGAGAGAGAACCTTCCCCCCAAAAGCAGGCGTTGGACGCGCGCAGGCCAAAATCACGCGACATGCCTCTTGCTTAGACCTTGAATCAGCTGCGATTACACCAATGAGGGTAGAGCAAGCATCCTAATGGCTGTTACATGAAGCCACTGCCATGCCGATTCGGTATATAAACGCGTTGATGATGTGCACTGCAGGTGTTGTGTGCTGTGACTATGCAGTACATCGGGAGGATTTTTTCATCTGCTAAGCGGATGTACAGTGACATCAACAGCGCCACGCTCAACGGTGCAATTGATGTCATCGTTGTTAGGTACCCCGATGGTGAGCTCTTCAGTTCTCCATTCTACGTTCAATTTGGCAAAACAGGAATACTCAGACCTTGCGAAGATGTGGTAAGCACGAGCGATGATTCTTGCATCTCATACTTTCCAACTTGAGTTTTCGCCAGAACTTATGTTTATTCTCAAGATGCATTTTGTGAGACCACTTGGGCAGATTTACACGCTGGCTTCAGCCTTATTAGGCCTTAATAACTCGGAATCGTTCAGACCCACAATACAACTAAACTCTTGGTCCAAATAATTTTTGTCGTAGAAATCGCTCTACAATGGATGCGATTGGACACGTTTTCACCATCACTGGCCTCCAGTTAAAGGTTTATTGTTTGATTTTCGGCGCAAGTAACTTTAAAGACTTCTATGCATCTCATGGTCCGTTATCGCAGATCTGTGGCTTACTGAAATCATATAATAACAACTCAGGTGCGTTGATGTTGGGCAAATGAGACGAACATGAAATTATTTTCATTCACTCCATCCTTTTTTTCACCGTGGATGCCCTTTTCTCAAATTGATAATGTTTGGATCAGAAAGATTTATCTGTCTTTAAGGGAGGTCACACCACCCAAATGTTGCCTTTTATCTTTACACATTAGAGAGCTGATTTTATAATATTGGTTCATCCGGTGTTGTTGAGGCAGCCATTACACAACCTAAGAATTGGCGGCTTTTCATACATTGACAGTGCTTATTTGTACCACTGATTTTCGGACCATTATTTGGGTGTGGTTTGTGTTCGCATATGCAATTATCTCGAATGCCATAAATCGCATCATTTAATGGCATTTCCCGATTGTTTGTTGTTCTATTTCACAAAGTCTAATGCTTAAAAGTGTTGTTAGGTGTCTAGATGAGAGTTTTGGGAGTTTTCACCTATACCTAACTAGAGGATGTGCTGGCCAAACTGTTATACAGTGGATCCTACACACACACAACCTCCAGAATAGGAACGATTGTTAGTGCATCTAACACGCCGTAGCAGAAATGTGCACCGCTCTGCTCTGTTTTTCTGCACGTGATACACGAAGCACTTGTTAAAACGGCTCCCGTCACACCCAGTTAAGTGAATTGGCACCCAAACAGAATGAATAATAACCCATGGCATTTTGTTACAATTGCCGCCAGATCTTCCTTTTGCTGGTGATCGTGTCGTGTTGGGGGAGAAATACTGGATTGATTTCGTGCAGTCTGAACAGGCTCAAGTATGGTCGAAGCAGTTGTCCACATGTCCGCTTGGTTTTTTTCTAGGTAACCTCCTTCGTTCACATCCTCGCATTGTAAGCCTTAGCTCCTCTAATAGCTTCCATACGAGATCATCGGTGCCTGGTTTCTGCTGCTACCAATTATGCTAATAGTAGTAGAGGTGGCTAATAAATGAAATCAGCTCCTTTTCTCAGCTTCTTCGCTTGTGTGAACTTAAGAATTGTTAGGGGACGTAGAGGTTTATCAAGGGAAAATTCACAAGGAGGATAATTAAGAGAGATTCTGTATGTGATCCTGAATTACCCGTCAAAAGTGGATGCGAGCTAATTTCACGTGCAACCTTATCGTCCAGAAAAATGCCATAAATACTTGCACTACATTTGTCGGATCAAACGGGTAAAGCATGTGAGATTTTCATAATTCCTCCACAAATGAGCACTAGTTTGTTCTGGGTTTGGTTGAAGGAGCAACTAACTGACTTCAAAAAGGTCACGTGATATCTCACGCAAAGCTTCAAGCGGCTCACGGTACCTAGTTTTGACCCACGCCTAAGCCACAAACACTCACCACCCATGCTGATGAAGCAGTGATTTTCATTTTCGTGACCCATGGGCGTATCGGCCTGCTGATTTTCAACAGATGTAACGTTCAGGGTCTTGACGATTACCCTTGTGCATGCTCCAGTAAGCAGCACTTTGTTCAGGTGCCTGCATTGACACTCCAACTGCCGACTGTCCAGTAGGACGTGGCTTCTGAAAGCTGCCAACATCAATTTAAGCGACGGTGTATTCTAATTTCTACTCGTAGGTAGTCAAATGCCATCATCTACAAACCATCTTGAGAGCTTTGGTTTTTTATATTTACTGATACAGCAAAAAATTTCACTTAAGCCTTTACACGAATAATGGCTTGCTAAGAGATCAGTCGAAGATAACATGGCCTTCTGCGGTGTAACTTGCTTGACATATGACCTCATAATCTGGATCGAAAGACGTTTAAAACAATGATGGCCAATCCTTAAAGTCGGGGCTCATAAGAAGTTTGGTTAATCTTTATTCAGACTCGTAAACGGGCAAGTGTAAGCATCAGGATCACTCAGGATAAGAATGCATTTACATAATTTTCGGTATTCTTACTGCAATTTGCATAGCATCAGCGTATTTTCGACCGTATTTTTCGAGGAGTATAGCAAGATGACATTTATTTATTCAGGTTGAGGTATCGATCAATGGGATTCCGCGGACAGACCTTCGGATGCGCGTAAACAGACTGGGTCAGGCGTATTTCGACGATCCGGTAGGTGAACCATCTCATTTAAACCAGGGGCAGAATCTCATGCAATAGCATGTAATTAAAAGCATTGTACTTCAATAAGAATCACATAACAGTAATAATTCTACATGCTTGGTGATCAGCTAGGTTGGCAAAATAAACCTTTAACACATGGCACTTGTTTTGCTTCCACAAATGAAGACCTCACAATTCCGAAAATAATTCATTGATGTTGGGGTTGCAGTTTGCTGTTTCGAGGTTGCTCAGAGAGGACATTCGGTTACCAACGGCTTGTGCATTTGGTTTTTTGACCAGAAGTGTCCTCCTGAAGCACAAACCTATGTGGCTGACGACCTTTGTCGGAGTTGTCGTGACAAGTCTGAGGTACGTAATGGCCGTTCAGAAA